ATAACCAGGAGCCAGCAAGGTAGACAACATAAGGAACTGACAATGAAGAATGAACAGAGCTGGGTACAAATGCACTGAGGTAGATGAGGAACACCGTTTGTGATCCACTGAGGGTTTTACCTGTGTGTCTCACCAGTTGGATTGCAGTTAGATTTCTGCAGCTCTTTCTGCAAAAGCTGTCAGCTTTCACCTTCTGCTCACCTGGAACGGAAAGCACATGAAATGGTTGAAGAGGTAAAACATTGTGGTTTCGGGGAGTGTTAATTAAAGCTTTAATTATTGCTCTTCATTCTTCTTTCCCATTTTTAGTTACTGTACATTTATATTTCTTTAGGTCAGCTCAAACTAAAGAGGATTCAGCTGCTGACAACCATGAGAACAAACCAGATGCTGTTAAACTGGAAGAAACAAACTTGCCTTTGGATTTCTCCTCACTGGTTTGATGATTGAAGCCGTAGGGTTAAAAAATAAATAAAAAATGTCTGATTTTATCTCCAAAGTGCTCAGTAATGATGGTCTGACTCTGTTGCTTTTTTTAATTGCCACCACCGTTTCATTATAATCCCCAGCAGACTGGCCACAGGAGGAGACATCCAGTGGCTACCTGCTGGTGGAGAAAAGTGGTTAGTTTCATAGCTGTAAGCTTTTTTTAAAAACAGTGGCTCATATCACTCGACCACACCACACAAATTATTGATTTGAGGCTGAGCTACAGAGAGGGACGACAGATTTAACCACAAAAACAGCAAAGTCAATAAATTCCTAGTATTTCAGGGAACTTTATTCAGCTTTAGCTTGGAGCATTGAGCAGAAACGATGTCATCCTGTGGGTTTCAATAGGTTTGTTTATTTCAGCAAATGTCATTATCATATAACAGCTGACATCCCCGATATCTGATGTGGAGTGTTAACATCTGGCTGATAGCTGTGGTTGTTAAAATAATGGCTACAAATCCACCTTAATGGGTGTAACACAGGGGTGTTTGGTCTGAGGAAATCCAGATTTCACAGAAAACACATGAAAGAGACTTGTTGGGTATTTTTTTTACCACCACACATAAAAAACGTGTCTATCCACTCAAATACATCCTTTAATGATAAATACTTACACATTATGTGGAATTAATGTGGATTGTTTCCTGGCCGGCTTCGGTTTGGAGCAATAGAGTTCACACCTTTCAGGATTGATGAGCAAACAGCTAGACCAAGCAGCTGAAACCAAAGTGAACAGCTGCTGTCTCAGAACTTGAAACTTCAATCTTTAAAAGGTCGTGGTGGTTCATGCACTATTTTGTGAACTTTTACACCACATTATTATTCATGTGGAATTCTGATTCTTTACAATCCTGCACTTCGGTGGCTGCACCACTTCCTGTTCATCCAGAGCTCCAGTGTGAGTACACATCAAGAGTGTCTCTATAGGTGCGTTTACCTTATTGGAAAGTTTGGGGTATATTTTTAGGAACTTCCCAACATTTGCGTGTCTCCACTTGACCAGGCCAGCCAAACTGCAGTTTTTCAGAACTTTCTGAGTACTTGAACATAGGTAGGGATTTGGAACGGCCCGGCGGAGTGGCTGAGCGGGACCGTTGGTTAGCTCACGCTGACTGGTTGTAACTCAAAAGGAAATGACATCAAAAGATGTCGTCCAAAACAACCGGCGGTGGTAAAATTAGAAGAGTTGCTGGTGAAGCAGAATGGAAGCAAAAGGAAAAAGGCACAGATCGTGCTTAAAATTAAACTCCCCACACCGGAAAACACAGCGGGATTCCTCCACAGTGACGTAATTCACAGGGGCTCTGTTGTCTCAGTGCTGTAAAAACGGAGCTTCTTCTGGTTATTGAATTCCACGTTTTACATCACGCAGCTGCTCTCCTCCTCTGAATGGATGAAATGATGGTACAGAAACGCTTTTAACGTTATTAAAGTCTCTTTCCGGAGTATTTCTCTTGCCCGATGGCACTGTCTAGTGGCTGACATGCATATCACACAGTCTCGGGATTAGTATTTTTTTAAGATGGCAACTTCATGTTTTTTGTTTATAAACGTGCTTCTGTGGCTGACAAACAGAGCTAAAACACGCTGTTTTACTAGTGTTATTCTCACGTCATGATGTGTTCTTATGTATTTATATTTACTTGAAGCATATGGTAGTCCACTGCTATTGGTTAGTTCTGGTCGGTACTCAGTTTCAATTGCACGACCTCTGCGGGGCAAGTGCCATGCTTAGCAAAAACATTTAAAAACGTATTGCTGACATTATATCACAATACATGATGAGATAATGAGTTGTAGTGGGCCAAAGGTCAAATTTACATAAAAAAAGAGCAGAAAGTAACTATTAATTTGCAGACACAAACATCGGTCTGGCCTCTGAACCAGAAAGCACGGTTCCAGACCTTGTTACCAGTCAAAGAAGACATAACATCTTCAGCCAAGGTCTCATGCAGAAGCAAGACTCCTGGACTTTTTCACTCTGAATAAAAGTCATAAATGACTTTACAACTTATAGGTTGAAATAATCAAATGTGTTGAATGAACAAGATGTTTAAATCCTAAAATGTTTGAATGAAGTTCCACCAGTGGAAACATGCCTAATATTGCTGCAGATAAAAACTATCTCATAAAACTGGCACTAGCATTAAAGTTAAACAAAAATTAATTAAAACTTCAATAAATCGTTTACATGAAACTTTTTTTTTCATTAACCAATCATTTAAATTCAGTACTTCTTGAAACTACCAAACATGTAATTATTTTCAGCACTGCAACCCTTTAAACTAGGGATGGTACTGGTATCGGTAAAAGTGAACTGATACCAGGAACCGATATCAATACAGTTGCCAGAACTTCACTGTAACATGTCATTTCTGTTCACCTAATATTTTAGTTTGGGGATGATTTCTATTCATATATTTTATTTTCCTGTCCAAAGCAGAGAAGAAAATAAAACCTTTATTCCAATTCATTGCATTTTTTGTGTGGTAAAAGTATCGTATCGGCGAGTACTCAGATCCAAGTATCGGCATTGTATCGGTTTGGAAAAAAGTGATATCATTACATCCCACTTTAAACACTATATTCATTATTTCAAATGTTTCCTTTGTAATTGGAAAATAGACATTAGAGAACGGGTTTCTGGAGTTTGGAGTTTATCAAAGATTTAACAACTAAATTAACTATCAGCCTCCCTCAGAAATCCAGACCCTGAAAGTTGATAAGAGGACGTCCTACCAGCACGCAGCACTGCGGTGTTGTGTTCACAGACAAAAAGAGCACAAAGAAATTTCCAACTCGTAATAGAGATTGTAATCTGAGCCGAGCTGACTGCTGCCTTCCCCATGGTGGTGACGCAGAGCAGTACCACCTTCACAGTGAGAACACCCTGCTGTGTTCTGCGTTTATACAACACCAGCAGAAAAAGGATTTATTCCACATGATTTGGTGCAGATATGGTGTGCTGAGAGCAGTCAGGTACCCAGCAAAAAACAAGATGGATATCTAAATGTGAGAACACCAGAGTGAACCTAATCCTAACAGCAAAATATTTACTGAGAGCTGAGTTTACGTGTGCCCTTGAGCAGGACATTAGAAGTTTTAAAGGTTACTAGAAGGTGTTAGTGATCTAATTAACCATCCGTTTGGGGTGTGGAGGCAGTAATACTGATACATAACAAGCTAACACTTTCATCTCATCTCGTAGCTCCTCAGAGGATCATCCATTGCCACAAGATGAATCAGTTACAACACTTGCCTTCGTTTTCCCCAGCTTCCGCCTCTCCATCAGAGGATTGTTATTCTGCTTTACCAGCTCTTTTCTCAGGAACAGTCCTTCAGCTCTGCAGGCCACTTTGTCCGGATGTGTCCTGCTGTCAGGCCTCAGCAGGTCTCTGTGCTGTGCTGTTCCAATCAGCACCATGCAGCCTCACACCGGAGATGCCAGCTGACTCTGATCCGCTGTGATTGATGAGGTAACGCCAGCACTCAGAGCTCACAGGGGAACCGCTGACCAGTGGCGTGTTTTACTCTGGACCGTAGAGCCCCAGCCTTTGGCTCTCTGTGTTGTTGGAAATAGACGTTTGCATTTGTTCATTTTTACTTTGCTAGTTAGTTTGGGTTGGAGTGAAAAACAAGATGGTTAGATCCTGATCAACACTTTGACAATTACAATATGATGCTATTTGACATGATTTTTATTTTTCTATTTTATTTAACCAGACAATCTGGCCAAGAGGCAGCAGCACAAACATAGTTAGCTTTACACCAAAGAAAAACAAAAAAGATCAAAATCAGACAAAACAGTTAGGCATAAAGACAAAGGACTGTTCTCATATATAACATGTACAAGCGATCAACACAGACTTAAAACAGTCTTTAAGTACTCAGAAGCACATTCATCAGAAACTACTGATCACAATGAATTATTGAAGGTAGATAATGGAATGTAGGTAGTGAGCTTTAGTGGTTTTTGCAGCTCATTCCAGTCGTTGGAAGCAGCAAACTGGAATGAGGAGCGGCCAAAGGAGGTGCGAGCTTTGGGAATAACCATAGAGATTGGGTCACTGGAACGTTAATCACGCTGGTTGTTGGAAGTGATGAGTAATGAGCGAAGACATGACGGTGTTCTACCGATGATTGTTTTGTATATGAACTGATCCCAGGGTAACAACCTGCAGGAATGGAGTGATGGCCAGTTAACGAGTGAGAACAGACCACAATGATCAGTAGTGAACGGGGCACCAGTGACGAAACGGATTGCATCGAGTTTATGAAGAAGTCTTTTGGAAGCGGTCCTATAAATGATGCCACCATCATCTAAGATAGGAAGGATTGTCTTTTTGACCAAGGTTTGCTTTGCAGAATGAGTAAAAGATGACCTGTTGCCATAGAAACCCAATTCTTGACTCGACTTAAGATGTAATGAATTAATGTGAATGATGTGATATGATGCAAGGTGATTTGTCACAATGCAATAATAAACAACGTATTTTGAATTTCAGATTCCCAAATATACAACGTTCCCTAACCCACACACAGAAGTGACCTGCTGAGCTGCAGATGTGATGCAGAAGCAGGTGGAACACAGATGAAGACTAAGGAGTCTCAGTCACGTGGACTCCTCATTTATCAGCCTTCAGGGAGTGAAGACATGAGGACAGAGTATGGACGGTTCGTTGTGGAGGGTTGCTCTTCTACTGATCTCACATTTGTGTCTCAGTGATGAGACCTGATCAATCAGACATCCGACTGAGAACATGATTACTACCGTACCAGTGAGTACCAGCTCTCTCTGCACCACCACACAAAACTTTTGCTGCCGTCTGTAATAAGTGAATTCACTATATTTTCTTTAACATCTAGCCTTAATTATCCAGATGACAGAACATATGAGCAGCTTCAAGTTGCTGTTCATCTTCACAGTCTTAGGGGCGTTTTTACTGAGAAACTGAAGTTGTCTCTCTCTGCTGGTCTGTACTGCCCACACCCCTAACGGCTGCTGACAGGCTCATTGTCTTTGGAAAATCTTTTAATAAATAAATAAAATTTCTATAGGTTTCAGTTGAGTTAAATATTGTACATCAGAGCTCCTAAAATTCATGTTTTTTGTAAGCAATGAGTCAATAAATCTATTAAGCCCTGATAATTCATCTACGTGTTTAGTAGCCTGGCCTTCCAGACTCGCCCTCTGTCTATTCTACAGAGGATGATGCTTCCCGTCCAGAAGCTTGGCATGGCTGGCCGGGCTACTTATTTAGTGGTTGATTGGAAGACCTTGTCACGATACGGTGGTGTGGACCCAAAATGCAGTACCCAGGATGACACGGAGGCAGGAATGAAGATTAAGAAAAAACCTTTATTTTAAGGTGAAACAAAAATAATAATTCCAAGGCAGGGAGCCAGTAATCCAAAACTCCAGATAAAGATCTGGAGATCCAAAACTCTAGAAAATCCAAGGAGACAAAGAACACTGGTAATCCAAAACGAGACGATACTGACAGAATAACACAAACATTAATGGACCGACAAAAGACAGAGACAAGACCGGGTTTATATAGACTGTCTGGGAAGATGGGGGAAATGAATTGCAGGTGCGTGGAGAGGAACAGGTGAATACAATTACCAAATCAGGGAGGAGGAAGAAAAAACTGAAAGCTGTAACAAAGGAAAATGACCTAAGGGAAAAACAAAGACCAGAAAGCATGAACATAACTAAGTACTAAGGAGAAGCTGACACTAAAGGAAGACACTACAGAAGGAAACTACAGGGGTGTGGCTAAGAGGGTACCAAGAGAGCACAGGGCCTGGAAGGGAAATGTCAGAGGGAAGGGCTCATACACACACACACACACACACACACACACACACACACACACACACACACACACACACACACACACTAGCACTGAACTGGGCAAGATAAGCACACACACACAAGCACACACACACACACACACACACACAAACACGGACACCAAAACACACACACACACACACACACACACACACACACACACACACACACACACACACACACACACACACACACACACACACACACACACACACACACACACACACACACACACACACACACACACACACACACACACACATAAACACCTACGCCTTCACACCTGAACTGGGCAAGATACACACACACACACACGCACACACACACACATCTATCTTGGCTGGGGGGAACAAGAGGCTGGAGCTGCAACTTGGGGCACAGAGGATAACTAAATGAACACTGGACCTGAGGGGATGATAAAAAGGTCTACAAACAGAGGACACCATATAGAGATGCAGACAAAGGACACATGAGGGCGCTAAAAGACACAGAAAGGAGGAATCTAAAGAGGGATGGAGGACATAAGGAGACACAAGGGGAAGACAGAAGCAGACCATGACAGACCTTTGAAAAAGCATTGAATCAGCATGTGTTTAAACAGCATTTAGAGTTGTCACTAATGGGAGATTACATAAACCCTCTTCTTCTGCAGGGTCCAATTAGTTTGAGGAACATTTTCAGCTCAAACCATTAATGACACCGGACTGCTGCACACACATGTGATCTTAATACGTGAAGTTTCATTAGCGGCACATAATTACTGAATACATTGACTGTGGTCCATTTACTTGACTGTGACATGAAACTACTGATTGGCTAACACTATTAGGTCTCAAACCAGCCGTGATGCTGCGATTTTCAGGCCAGTAGCGGCACGCCACACCACGCCGCTAAAGATCGGATCGAGTTCTATTTTTACCGTGATCCTTTTTTGGTACACATCAATTTTCACATTCAACATATGGCTAAACAGGAAACCACACACGGTTTCAGTGTAAAATCCCTGCTAATTTTCAAAATAAAAGTACTGCAGGGATGCAATTTCATATACCGGTATATGTAGCTTACCCATCGGCTTATTTATTCACAGCATCGTTCCAGAAGTGCAGCAGTGTGTTTTTCATGGCTTTAATCCTGGCAGTGGCGAGGAACAACATCATATATGACATCAAACAGCGATAACAAATGTTATTTTCTTCTTTTTAGTTTAAGGGTGGATGGCATAATCAAACCGTGGGGATTTGTGATCTTGCAAGTGCAGCGAGGAGCACAGCGACCGTTCTGCGCCAAAGGCTCACCTTCCACTGCCATCCCACGCCGCCTGAGGCTTCCAGTGTGAAAAAGTGGTGAGGAAAGATACCCGAGGGGAGGGGTGAGTGTTCCCTTACTGTGCTTGCATTCAAAACCTAGCTTGTTCTGTATATTTGCTACAACAGCTTTAATGGTTACTTTCAGTGGAAACAAATTTCTGCAGAACCTCCAGTAAGATTTTCACAATGTTTCTGCCAGAATAACCACTCATTACAAAATTGGTGACCATATAAGTGTTTATGAAATAGTCTTTGCAATAAAACCCATAAGTCTGCCAGTTTGTGATCAGATGGGTGGACAGAGATGATTCATCACTTTTGTGATTCCTGACCTGAAGCCTGTAGGTGACTTTAAGAGGATGGAATTAGTGTTCTTGAGAAGCCTGTTTTTGTTATCCTGCAGCCAAAAGGGGATGGGAAATGAGGTCATAATGAGACAAGAGCGCAGCATGGGGAAAATAATTTTAATTTTCTCAGAATATGAAGAAGATGGAGACGAGCAACAGTGTTTGATAAAGACCTGAGTATCAAGTCATGAACTGAAAGGCGAGTGATAGATTAGCTGGAGGAAAAGGCGGAGGTTAATGTGAGTTAGCAGGACCTTTCCTCTCTGCTGGGGGGATGAGAGGCAGCACACGAATGATGTCAGGGCAGGGATTGTGTGATGACAGTGGGTGGTTCTGGGGAAAAACTGATTACAACCTGACATGATAAAAAGATGTTTAATATCATTGCATTCTTTACTTTACTAAAGGATGCAATCCTATAAGCCTTGAAAATTACATTTTGTACAAAAAGACCAAAAATTTAAAAGAAATTTTCTAAATTAAAGCAAATTAGATAAACCAGAGATGGGTAGCAGTCTCAGAGGAAGAGAGTGTCCTTTCTCTTTATGGTTCCAGAACACAAGATAATGGAAAAAAGCTGGAGGAAGACAGGAGGTAGAGAGGGGTGTGTGGGGGGGTGGGGTGGGGGGTAATGGGATGAGAAATAAGAGACAGCTGCAATTTTCTGTTTCAGGAAAGTGAGGTGAGTGTGTGAGAGAACAAGTAGAAAATGGACTGAGAGCTGTATTTAAACAGGACAAGTTCTCACAAGAGTGCTTCAGAAGGAGTGGAGGAGGACAGGTGCAGAAATCATTACATCTGTTTGTTTCGCTTTTCTTTGAAGCTTTTAAAATGTTGATATGTTTCCTCCAGCGGTTTAAAGTGGTTTTTAGTTTTACAGAGCACGTTTCAGCTGGAAAATGAGGGATAAAAAGCAAAGTGAATGCTCTCCCTGATGACTGCCTGTGATTGTGAGGTCACTTTGTGATTCAGAGACTGAGCTGTGAAGGTGATGAGCACCGATCACTGCTATAGCACCGAAACACATCTGTCATTGTAACCAGCTGGGCATAAAAACCCATTCTGCTCCACAAACCCTCTTTTACTGATCATAGTGTATCAGCCAGAGAGCCTGCATGAACAGGATGGTTTCCTGCCGCCATGTGTGCAGACTTTACTCAGGGTGGGTTCATGCTTTTATTTGTTTATTATGAAAGTCTAATCAGAAGGGCTACAGATAGCTCTGATGGCTGATAAATAACCACACAGTTAGAGGTCAGGTCAGAGGTGCTGTTCTTTAGTCTCAGGCCCTGTCCACACGTAGCCGGGGATCTGCCAAAACGTAGATATTTTTCTACGTTTTGGCCTGTCATCCACACGAAAACGGAGTTTTTTCACACGAAAACGGATCTTTTTAAAAACTCCGGCCAAAGTGAAGATCTGCGTTTTCTCCGTTTTGGGTGTCTGCGTGTGGACAGACAAAACCGGAGTTTTAAGGTCCGCAACGTCACTTTCCGCGACAAAAAAATGCTGACATCACGTGTGCGACCTGTGTTTACACTAGCCCACAGCATGGATGGCCTCAGAGCTGCGCTCGCTTTATCAATTGTCCAAGCGCTTTTTGCTTGTTTGTTTTTGCAAGCGGAATTACTGCTCCTTGCGGAAGACCACAGACGAAGGACGAGGTTAAGAACGGGGGAAGTACTGCCACCTACAGGTCTGGCATGTCCTTAACAACGTATTTATCCGGGTACGTGTGGACAGAGTTTTTTTTTAAACGAGGTGGTGTGGATGCAAGTTTTTGGAGGGGCGGATATTCGTTTTTTAAAAAACACGGCTACGTGTGGACTAGGCCTTAGTCAGGCTAGCTTGTCTTTGTTACAACCCAGATTACTGCGGGATAGGGAGACTGAACATGATGAGTGGAGGTATAGTGTGTTATTTTAAAGCAGTCAGGCAACCCAGAGGTGACCCTTGCCTCACCAAGCAGGTGCAGCCAATTAGTGCAATCAAGACCAGAGTGTGGCGCGTGCTAATCAGAGCTAATAGTTGTCTCTAAACCCAGGTCATGTTTCATAACATACAATTTAAACAGACCAAAACACGGGTTAGGACACCCATCTCCATGGGAAGCAGGTCCAGAACTCACTGGTGGAATTGTACATTCTGTATTGTCTGGGAAAAGGGATGCCATTCCCTTCTGGACCTGTTGCCTAAGCAACACAATTGGGTGGGTGGACGGATGGATGGTCTTTATGAGTCTAACTAAAAGCTTTTATTCCTCCTCAGCCCTGCTCTTGAAAGCCTCCTCCTCCCCGACAGCCTGCTGCTCCTCGCTCCTCACTCCCTGCTCCTAACCCTCCTCTCTGTGCTTCGTCACAACTTTTTTTATCCACAACAGGAAGTCGTGAGAAAACGAGCAATCTGAGTTTGTTTGCTCATTCGCACTGGTGAACAGCCGTGCACTAACACAGAGAATATTTGCTCGACCACTTGTTCCCACAACAAGGACACAGAGAGTGCTGTTTCTGCACTCCTTCCTGTTGATGTGGAGCGTCACAGAGACAGCCATGAACAAGGTCTCCTTATTACCTCATTAAATGCTCACTGAACAAACACATGCAGCCACACAGACAGACGAGCCCCCCTTTTGTTCCTTCTGCATTAAATCCTACCTTTTAGTGCCTGAGCCCAGAGGAGCAGCATCCCTTTTATATAAAAATGATGAGGGTTTGGGAGGAAGCAGCATTTAGAGGCACCATTAGGAAGAGACGTGTAGAAGCAGAGGAAGGTGGCCTCTGAACTACCCGGCTGACTTTCTGCTGCAGACTCGAGGGTTTGAGATTTTATTTAATATTCTGAGTGGTTCTATTTGTGGTAATAACACATGAATAGTGACTGTGGGGTTAAAGACACGTCACAGCAGAACTAATAAGGGAGGCAGGGAAGTCCATCATGATCATTATGACTAAATGAGAGCTGTATCCGGGGAGAGAGAGCCTGACAACAGAAAGTATCATCAGGCATGTTCTCTATCTGCTGCACCTGGTGAAAACACCAACGATCCACAGGTCTCCAGCACGACCTGCACCTTAACGTTGGTAATGTAACAAGGAAACAAAGAAAAACGAAGCCATAAAGTACTATGTACGTATGATTTACAGTAAATTATATTGTTTATTTATCATAGCAAAGAAATAGAAAAATCCTGCTAACACACCTCTGTGTATTTCCACAGGTCAATAGCAAAGCACGCAGCAATCGCTTTGTTACAAGTGCCACCATTGTTTGTTCTCACGGTGCGGGAGCTCGTTCCGACGCCCACACAGTAAAAAAAAAAATGCAAATGACGACTTTAGTCGTTGATGACAGTTAATGAGTTAAGTTATTATTTTATAGATCATTTTTTAAAATGATCTGAAAATAAACTTTCATAATGTGTATTTTCTCTGGCGATAGGGGGCAGTAGATACCTAAATGATTGCAAGCAAGCATTATTTTTGTGTTAAAGTAAGACCTTACCAACGGATGGCCATCAGGGTCAAAAATTCTTGGGAGTGCACCCTCCAGCAAACGCACAAGAACATCAGGCTCCCTTTCATCCACTGCAGTGAGAGAAGAGGTAAATGTGTAAAACAACAATGTTTCGTAATGCTGATAGTTTTGTAATTATTTGTTACAAATCAGTAAATGCATTGTGTCCTCACAGGCTTCCGTAGAAGGAAACATGGCATCTAATATGGCATCGCCCAGAGACTTAGATCCCATGTATCCATCCATCCATTGCCTGAACCCGCTTTGTCCATGTAGGGTCGGGGGGGGGGGGGGGGGGGGGGGGGCTATCTCCAGCAGCCAATGGGCAAGTAGGCGGGGTACACCCTGGACAGAGAGCCCAGTCCATTGCAGGGCAACACAGTGAGACACCGGACAAACAATCATCTTCACTCTCACACCTCAGGACAATTTAGACAGACCAATCGCTCCCATGTATTATGGTTAAATGTTATGAAACCACCAATATGTTTCAGCAACTGGGCATCTTTTAATTCATTTACAACAACACGCCAATGGATATTTTCAGACATTAATGGTAAAAGCTACATGTTGTCACAGAGTTTCTTCAAAATAAAAGCTGCAGAACCAAAACAACAGCAAAAAACTTGTGAACAAAACATGATGACAGTAAACTAACATCCAGCTGCAGCTCAGCAGATCATTATGTGCTTTTGCATTTGTTATTTAATTTTGTTTGCGTGGGTGTTTGTTATAGATCAGGCAGTTCTGAGCTGAGACAAGTCTCCCAAAAGGAGATTCCGGCAATTAACTGTGAAATCTAAAGGGCTCTGTTCCCGTTGTTGCTGCAGAAATCTGCTTCATGAAACGAGCCCTTTATATTGTTCAGCCTATTGCATTAAATTATACGTAATCAGTGTTCTCTGTAATTTATAAGGCACAAAATCATTGTCGCACAGACAAACTGAACTGTTCTATGTAAGAGGTACATTAAATTATGATTACAGTAGTAATAGTCTGGGATTTATTTTCTGCAAAGCCACAAAATGATCAAAAACATCTGTTACATAATAGTTTGTTAGATAAAACTGAGCCTCATGTCCTACTGAATTAGACAGAGATGCTTTTTACCCTGTAACTGTTCTGAATGTGTTTCAGTTATTCTGTGTCGTCTCCATCAGTTTGTTTTCTGCTCCCGTCTCCTCCCTCAAATTCTGCATCTTTTCTCATAATAAACTTGTGAACATGTTTAATGATAGAGCAGTAAATGATCCTCCTGTTTCCATCTGGACAACACAAAACGATTTTTGCCCTCCTGCTTCTGCTTCAGTGGAGCACGATGGGCCGTGGTTTTAAAGCTTCAAAAGCGGAGCGTCACAGCTTCCTGGAATGAGCGAGCCTGTGTCAGGCATACGACCAGGTAAGCTGATGCTGACCTGCAGTCCAGCCAACACCCACAGGTGGCTCTTTCAGTCTGTAACCCTGTTTTCTCCTGAGTTTTGTCCTCACAGATAGGCGTGTCTGAGAGCTCCCAGCTGCAGCTGATTTCACCATCAAGGCCCAGGGGATTTAAGGAGCAGTGTGACACTTCACCACGCCGGATGATTACTCTTCTTGGGTAGCTCTAGCCTCTGACCCGGCCCGACTTAGACATTTGTGTTTTTTTGCTCTTGTTAACCTGTCACCTGAAAATCCCTTCATGCCCTCTCCTGCTCTCCTCCAGGTTCCCCTTCACCTCTCACCTCCTCCAGAACAAACCCGGATCTCAGCCTACCTGACCACACTGCTTCATCCCCTGGCCGCCCGCTCTCAGCCGCTCACCTACCAACGTCCATTCCTGCTCCTACACCTCTGGACAAACAGTCCCTTTAACTTGGATCTCTTCAGCTCACCCGGACCTGACAATCCCTCCTGTACAGTTACCACTACCAAGTAACAGTAAGACCAGTCTTTCAGATAAAGTTTCTATTTGTTTTTCACCTCTTATTCACTCTGTCTCTCTCCTTAGAATCTCCCCCTGGATTCCTGCTGCCAGTCCTGCGTCTCGTCTGTTCCCGTCTCTCCCGCTGCTCCTTATTTAGAAATAAAAACCTTTT